TGTTATTTTCTGATGGACCTCAGGCCAGCAGTGTGACCTACTAGAGACTCAGGAACCAAGATTAAGCACGGTGCCCTCTTGTTGGAAAAATACAAAATTAATTATTTCGGTAGCTTGTTTTGCCTTTAGAACAGAACCTGCTTATTGTATCAGCTTTACTGATAATCAACTGCTCTACTCCCGTGATAGAGTTTGGATGTGTTGTTCCCCCAAAACTCATGCAGAAGAAATCTGATCCCCAAAGTGACAGTGTTGGAAGCTGTTTGAGTCATCGGGGTGGATCCCTCACGAATGGATTAATGCTCTCCCTGGGGGAGGGGTCCTGAATGAGATCTCACTCTATTAGTTCCCATGAAAGATGGTTGTGTAAAAAGACCCTGGCACCTCCCCTCTCTCTTGCTTCCTTTTGCCATGTGATCTGCTTGTACCTGCCGGCTACCTGTCATCTTCCAGCATGAGTAGAAGCAGCCTGAGGCCTGTGCCAGATGCAGCTGTCCCAGAACGGTAAGCCAAATAAACCTCTGTTCTTTATAAATTACCCACTCTCAGGTATTTCTGTTACAGCAACACAAACAGACTACATCCCACTTTTGTAAACATGCTTGCTTATCACAATGACTACTATACTGGCTACATGAATGCTGAGAGAACAAAACTTAAAAGGACCCAAAGGNCCTTTAGAACAGAACCTGCTTATTGTATCAGCTTTACTGATAATCAACTGCTCTACTCCCGTGATAGAGTTTGGATGTGTTGTCCCCCAAAACTCATGCAGAAGAAATCTGATCCCCAAAGTGACAGTGTTGGAAGCTGTTTGAGTCATCGGGGTGGATCCCTCACGAATGGATTAATGCTCTCCCTGGGGGAGGGGTCCTGAATGAGATCTCACTCTATTAGTTCCCATGAAAGATGGTTGTGTAAAAAGACCCTGGCACCTCCCCTCTCTCTTGCTTCCTTTTGCCATGTGATCTGCTTGTACCTGCCGGCTACCTGTCATCTTCCAGCATGAGTAGAAGCAGCCTGAGGCCTGTGCCAGATGCAGCTGTCCCAGAACGGTAAGCCAAATAAACCTCTGTTCTTTATAAATTACCCACTCTCAGGTATTTCTGTTACAGCAACACAAACAGACTACATCCCACTTTTGTAAACATGCTTGCTTATCGCAATGACTACTATACTGGCTACATGAATGCTGAGAGAACAAAACTTAAAAGGACCCAAAGGAGTCCACCTATAAAAACCCTGTAAGACCTAAACTCAAGGCTCAGATTTGGAAGTGCTAGCTCATCTGGGCCCACTGGCATAATAAACTACCTGACACTCCAACCCTCTGAGTGCTGACTGCTTCTCTGTTGACATCCGTTCCATAACACTCTCGCAACCTTGTGAGGGGCCAGTGAGATACTGACACATGTAAGGCCCAACAGTGTTCTCAGTGGCACTATCCACAACAACCCAAAGGGGAAAGCACCCCAGTGTGTGCAGGTGGATGAGCAGAGAAAATGTGGTGGATGCATACAGTGCAGCATCAGCTTTAGGAAACTCCAGCATGTGCTAAGGCATGGACAAAACTGCTAAGTGCAAGGAGCCACCACAAAGGAACAGACGGTGCACGATAATGTTTACATGAGACTCAGAGTCGTCAAATTCATAGAGGCAGAAGGTAGAATGGTGGTGGCCAGGGGCTGGGGGAGGGATGATTGGAAAGTTAGTGTTTAATGGGTACCGAGTTTTAGTGTGGGAAGATGCAAAGTTCTGGAGGTGGGTGGTGGTGATGGGTGCACAACACTATGAATGTACTAAATGCCACTGACCTGAGCACTTAAAAATGGTAAAAGGGCAAATTTTATGTTATGCATATTTTACCACAATAAAGAAGTGAAAAATAATGCTTTAAATAATACATGTAACGTACTTAGCACCATCCAGGCCCACAGTAGGAGCTTAATGAGTATTAGAGGCTTGTGCTGTCATGAAAAACAGTCATTTCACCACCTCCTTTATTTCACCAGTAAGGAAACTGGGTTCCAAAGAAAGTCATCTGCTCAAGGTCAAGCACAGCAGAGACCAGGACACTGGGCCCTGAGCCCCAGCCTGTCCCAAGAGTGTCTCCACTCTGGCTTATTCACGCTGGTAGGGGAGAGGCAGAATTGGCTTATGCAGACTGGGAAAGTGTGCACTTTCTCGTGCTGACTCTTAAGTGCACACGGGCTCTGGTCTCCACTAAGTGAAGAAGTCCTCTCTGCACAGATTCCACTCCCTTCCCCCATTTCTTACTCTTCCCCACTCCATGATCCACGCTGAGGTGAGATGTCAGCACTTCTGGCTGTTGAGACTACAGGAGTCCCCTTTCCTTGTCACCACAGTGGGTGAAGCGAACATCTCTTGAGAAGAAACAGGCCTGCTCTTGGAGTCCTGGTGGGATGGAGGGGAAGAGCCTGACTTTAAGAATATGCCAGAACATTCCTAAGGAGGTCTGTGAAGACCCCAGGACTCCCAAAGGGGAGATGGGCACATCCCCCACAGATGTAGCCTTTGTAACCATTCCCTTGAGAGCCAAAATGCATCTTTTGTTACAGGGAAGAAGCAGGAGATGGCTGGATCTTCTGCTGGCTTCAGAGGCTTGGGGTGGTTACGACCCACTAGAAGAGCCATTTAAATGTAGGAAAGTGGGACCAATTCAGAAGCACACATGGAGAGGCCAAATGATTCCAACTCGGATGGTCCAATCTGCTGAAGATAGATTTGAGCCCAAAAAACTGGGAGTCACAACAGAGACTTCAGTGTGGAGTCACTAGCTCAAACTAAGGTGGCTGCATTTGTGCCACCTAAAGCACACCAAATTGGCTTGGACCATCTCACGCTGGTTAACACCATCTCAAGCTAGTTTTGTATGATTACCAAAGGACTAAACTGGCTAAAATAAGCTCAAACTAGTGATTAGCTTCAACTTGTCTGTAACCCAAATCTCCTCGTGGGTTCCTGGCACACCTGTTTAGTCTGGCTTATGCTACCTTGGAATACCTTGCTGCAGTCCAGACTGCCTTAAATTAGCTTCAGCGAGAGGAGACCAGCTTGAACAAGTTTTGCCTGCAGTTAGTTCTCCTGTAGGGAACTAACAGTGATTGATCACCTGCATAGTGTCAAGCTTTGAGCTGGGGCTTTCCCCACACTTTCTCATTTAATCTTCTCGGCAGTCCATCAAGATGTGCATAATTAACCCTTACTTCCTATTTTTCCAGAGGTAAAATAACTTGCAGGAGATTCTGTATGTATTAAGCTGCAGATCTGGGATGCAAATTTCAGAGCTGAGGCTACTTCAGTCTCACTCCGTCTCCTTGGATGTGAAAAGACACTTAGAGCAGGTGGAGCTGGGTCTTCTGGCTTTAATGCATTTGACCCAAGGAGCAGGAGAAAACTTCAAAAGCATCCTGAACATTTAAACACTGAAACTCTCTGGATGGAAAGAAGTAACAGAATCCACCACTATCAACATCAACAGTGATCATCGTTTCTCGTGGATTAATGAGCAACACCTGGATGGGATTGCTGGCATGGGGTACAGCTCTGGGACTATTCGTTTTCCAAACCAAACTTACTTAAAATGCTTGTTGCCTGAGCAAGGCTCATGGGAAGCACATTTATTATTTTTGAGTGTATTTCCAGGGAGAGGGGGTTATACAGTGTCTAGACAGGCCCTGCTGTCAAGGAGAGAGAAAGCTGTGCCAAGAAACAGAAGACAGGAGGGTTTGGCTCCTTGTCTGCAGAAAGTGCCTTGACCTTGCTTACCTGTTCCTGCCCAGGGCTTGGGAGTTGGCTTTAGTGCTGACCCAGGGTGGCCTTTTGTCTCTCAGAGTCAAGGCCCTCTGAGTGACCACAAAGAATGACCTTGCAGGTGAGGTCAGACAAAAACACAGTTTCTGGGACATCCATGCTCTTTAGAGATGAGGCTTAGGTGTCGGAGCAAATACATGTGTGTTCAATGGCCTGTTGCCTACCGTGGCTCATGCCTTCCTCTCCATAGGATCCCTGCAAGGTCTAGATCGGATCAGCCCATAAACTCGGGCCTTGTGATGTATTCATTTTGGGGTCGGCTGAGCCAGCTGGCTGCAGCTGGGCTACCTGAGGGGTCTCCCCCTTCAAAAGCTATGCCCCTGGGATAACAGACTCCTTGGAAGCAGGATCCTGGTGATGGTGTTGGGACGGGAAGAGAGGAAAAGAATGTCTCAGCACTCACACAACACTGCCCATGAGAGACTGTCCCAGAAACCCCACAAGCCTTGGACACCCGCGCCCGGGCGGACGTCAGACTGGCTCACTTAAACTTGTTTAGGGTTGCCAGGTAAAATACAGGAGGCCCAGCTAAATGTGAATTTCAGATAAACGACAAATAATTTTTCAGTATAAGTCATTGTTTATCTGAAAACCACTGTTCATCTGAAATTCAAACTTAACTAGGCATCCTGTATTTTTATTTGTGAAACCTGGCAGCCCTCCACCAGTATAACAATGGTCTGTTAGTTTATGGGTGCGTCCATTGGTTCTTCATGCAGCTGTTTGTTTCAGTCTTCAAATATTTTGTTTGTACTTAGCACAGATTTATGCATTCTGATGTCTTGAGTCCTATTCTTTTCACTCTTCCTTGTATTCATTTTTCTAATATTTGCCGGCCTGCCTTTCTAGTATCCAAGTTTCATGCTTTTTCTTTCCACTAAATCTTATTTATGTTAAGTATTTTTTCCATATATCTTCTTCCCTATTTTCTAGAGTCTTTTGCAAGACTCTGTTGTGTAGGTTTAACTGATGAAGAACAGCCTGTCTTGGCTGGATGGACCAGAATCCTGGAACCAACATCAAGTGGGAATTACTGGCTTTATAACGATTGAGTTTTTAGCAGAGGGGTCCCCTCCGTGTCCAAGCTCAGGTCCTGGCCTGTGTGATATAGCTGTGCGTGCGTGTGTGTGTATGTTAGAGTATATGGGGAGCGGGCAGCAGCTCACCTGCAGAGAGCAGAAGGCTTGGGTGAAGGGCGGCATCCGGACCAAGTAGGAGGCGATGATGATGGCCGAAGAGTAGTGAGTGTAGTAGTGGCACTGGACAGTCATGTCTCCTGCAACAAAAGGACATGGCTGAGAAGTGCTTCCACATCTGAGCTGCTGCCTGCACCATGCCCGATAACAGCATTAAAAAAACATGTGCATTGAAGTTAAGGAAGTGAATAGACTTAAAGAAAAACATTAAGGCAATAAGAATACAGGAGGCATGTGAATGTGGCAAACATTGTAAAGGTGATGTGCGGGTGGACAAAGTTTGGGAACTAGATTCTAGAGCCAGGCAAATGCAGGCTCTGCCATTGAGAGGCTGTGATCTTGAGTGAGTTGCTTAAACTCTCCGAGTTTAAGTTTTCTTCTCTGTGGAACGGACCATTGTATGCACGAACGGTATGAATGCAGGCTGGCCTGTGCCTGGTATAAAGAAAGTGCTGAATGAATGTCAGTCCTCTCCACCTTTGCCTGTCCCAGGTATGGAGTTACTAGCTCTTAGCATGATACTTCTCCATTCAGGCTCCATGTTAGAATCACCTGGGCCATGCCTGACCACAGACTTAATTTAATCAGAATTTCTAGAGGTGGGGCCTGGACATCCCAGTATTTTTTGAAAGCTCCCCAGGTGATTCACTTGCGCAGCCAGGGTGCTAACCACTGAAGGAGAGACGTCTCTATTCAAATACAGTCATTTGTAGGCTAGGTGACCCCTAAATCATTAGCAACTATCATTTCAAGGCATTCAGATCAACAGCACTGCACAAAACACCAAGCTGAGATCTACCCAAAGACCTCTCTATTCAAATGCAGTCATTTGTAGGCTAGGTGACCCCTAAATCATTAGCAGCTATCATTTCAAGGCATTCAGATCAACAGCACTGCACAAAACACCAAGCTGAGATCTACCCACCTTCAGTCTTCTCAACTTCTTTAAACCTCTGGATAAATTTCAGCTTCCTTTCTTTGGTCTGAGCCCCCATGGGCTTTGATAGGTCCCGGAATATCTTGGGATTCGTCAAGTTCAACGTCTAGAAGGCAGATGTGGAGCTGGAGTTAACTCCTCCATGCCCTCTTGTGCCCCAAGAGTCATGCTCTTTAGTTTTATGGTTCTCTTTATTGGTTTATTGTCATTCGGTCTGAAGCCCTTCTGGCCATTAGCTGGCATGCCACGGTTTTATGGCCCCGGACCCAGTGATCCACAAAGACTTAATAGGGGAGAGATGGAAAATAAGAGGAGGGGAAGATTGAGTTCACAGTGAGCCTGTTCCAAGTTGACCCAAATCAGAACATGGCCACCAGTTACCAAAAACAGACTTTCAGAAGAATTCCTGTTGTCTAGGAGGCATTTGGCTCCTGCCCTCATGGGGGCAGTAACTATAATTTACTCTCATAGTTCAGGGTCCTTGCTTAGGATCCAACTGGCTTTATAGGAAGTTAGAAATCACCTGTTTGGGATGAAATGAGAGAGGCACATCCCCACCTTCCTGCAGGCCGATTCCCCTCTGGGCAGTGGAACCTGCTGCCCGCCCCTTCCCTGCCTTTGGGATACACAACACTGGAGACGTGAGGAGTCTCAGGGCCAGGTGTCCTGGAGATGTTTTCTTTCAGCAGAGAGGTTCTGCGTGTTAGCAGAAAAGCCCAGTGCTCCCAGGGTTTGCATTTCTTTACAGGAGGGGGTGTCTCTATCTAGCCCTCTTTCTTTTCACTAGCAGAGAATCGCCACAGCTCCACTGGGGCACAGGGTGTCCCAGCTCAAAGGCCTGCAGAAGCCAGGGCAGGGACAGGTGGCAAGGAAGGGAAGCAAGCAGGAAGTAGCCCGTCCTGAGACCCCTGGGAGTGACGAAGGGGACACGTGGACACCCACACTCAGCTTCAGCTGGTCTTGCTAGGTCAGAATTGCTCATAGTTGCTAGATCTCTTGATTTTCCAAAATATATTGGAAATCCAGATTTTCAGGAAAAAAAAACTCCCAATTTTTAAGTGCTGGTAAGTAATCAAAATTTTAAATACATGATATGGGCTAAACAAAAGTGGTGCATAAACCACCACTTTGCAACAGTGAGCTAAAGCTGGGATTTGTGTGCCCCGAAATGCCTCAGCCTCAGAGTGCCCATTAGCCCAGTATGTAGCACATGCAGCTGCTAAGAGAAGCTGTGCTGTGCTAAGTGTCTTCATTGGGAACGAGAGGTCACAAAAGATTAAGCCCCCTCTTCCACTTCCTGGGGTCTATAGTCCCAGCAGCCTTAGACAGGACAGGACAGGCTGCTCTGAACCACTGGCCCAGCCACCTTCTGTCTTTCACACATGGCCCAACACATCTCTAGATGGCAGAGCCTGGGGGGTTGGGACACTGCTCCCTCGCTGGTCATCACCACGCAGGCACAGCCATCACCGTGGTCCAGCTGTGTAGTTTTCCTCCTCCTTTCTCTGCCTACTAAGGTCCAGGAGCAGAGGCCAGAAGAGATGAATGACCTGACCTTGCCAATAACTTCTATTGCTATATGACTCAGTCCAGATCTTGGGTGAAGCCCAGATACTGTCATCTCCTTTGCTGAAGTCAAGCTATAGGGAGCGTGGCACATTCTCTCTCTTGCTCTCTCTGTTGATTCTAGGAACAGACACCATGCCACCTCACTTGTGACTACCTCTCATGGGTGTCAGTTGCCCTTGTTGTAGAGAGGAAGCCAGGAAGCCCTCTGGGGCCCACACTGGCAATTGTACTAGTCGTATTGATCATCTCACAGGTGGGGCTGGGACAGGAAGCCAGGTAGACTCCAAGGCCACCATGGGGTCCAGAGCTCTGAGCACCAAGCAGCCTTCAGGCCCAGGTTCCCAGGTGGAGGTAACTGAACCTCCTAGCAGAAGCTGTGTGCTGAATTTGGGTGTTCTAGCTACGGGGTAGGAAAGCCTCAGGACACCTGCGCAGGCTCCATGCAGATGCCTTACCTCCGAGGTGTAGTCAGCGAGGACCCAGGGAAACACTGGGTACTGCATGTAGTCATTGTAGGTCCTCCCAGCCAAGGTGTTGAGGTACATGAGATACTCGAAATTGCTGATGTCCCTTTTCTGCCAGAGGAAACAAAGGGAATAAACCAGACACACTGACATCCTCCTGAGGCCATGGGGTCTAACCCTCAGCTCTCGGCAGGAGACCCTGGCTCTGCTGGTGGGGACAGGCAGCCGGCATCGAGGTTGTTGCCTGCACATCTTGTGCATGAGGCAGTGCCCACACAGACAGGCACACCCTGATTGCAGGGTGAACAGAAGCAAGTGTATTCAGGAGGCTAAGGTGGCCAGGGAAAATAAAACAGTGCAGCAACCCAAAGCCAAGGATAAAATGTTCTTTCGTGTTAAATGTTGGATGTGGTACTCAAAGGTTGGTTAAGATAATAGAACTAATGCTGGTGGTAAACTAACTGCTGATCCTTTTGTGGTTAGAAAACTAAGCAGAGGGGACATGGTAGTCACAGAGAAAGAGGCCCCCTTATGGATGTATCACCCCATGATCGCCAGGGTTGATTTGCAGAAAGAGGCCCTCCCTATTGGGCTGCAAGATCTCTCTTCCTCTGGGCCTTTTCCCGTCCCTGCCTGCCTGGATAACACTCCCTCTTAGGGGTCCTCTGCCTTAAGATGGAGAGTCACAAATGGAGACGGGGACTGTATTTGGGAAAAATTCTCCAAGGCCATCTGGTGAATGAACAGTCCAATATAGCTGTCATATCTGATATGGGACTTGCATGCTTAGAGTCACTGCTTTCCTCACCCTGCTCTTTGGGAGAGGATTTTGGAGGTGGGTAACCAAGAGCTACTTTCTCCTTATCCCTTGATTTCAATGACTGACACCCTTGGGGTCTCTTCNAGACAGGCACACCCTGATTGCAGGGTGAACAGAAGCAAGTGTATTCAGGAGGCTAAGGTGGTCAGGGAATATAAAACAGTGCAGCAACCCAAAGCAAAGGATGAAACGTTCTTTCGTGTTAAATGTTGGATGTGATACTCAAAGGTTGGTTAAGATAATAGAACTAATGCTGGGGGTGAACTAACTGCTGATCCTTTTGTGGTTAGAAAACTAAGCAGAGGGGACATGGTAGTCACAGAGAAAGAGGCCCCCTTATGGATCTATCACCCCATGATCGCCAGGGTTGATTTGCAGAAAGAGGCCCTCCCTATTGGGCTGCAAGATTTCTCTTCCTCTGGGCCTTTTCCCGTCCCTGACTGCCTGGATAACACTCCCTCTTAGGGGTCCTCTGCCTTAAGATGAAGAGTCACAAATGGAGACGGGGACTGTATTTGGGAAAAATTCTCCAAGGCCATCTGGTGAATGAACAGTCCAATATAGCTGTCATCTCTGATATGGGACTTGCATGCTTAGAGTCACTGCTTTCCTCACCCTGCTCTTTGGGAGAGGATTTTGGAGGTGGGTCACCAAGAGCTACTTTCTCCTTATCCCTTGATTTCAATGACTGACACCCTTGGGGTCTCTTCCTTTCACTGAGAACCTGAGGCTGAATGTCACCTCATCCCAGCTGGGAGCCACGTGTGTCCTCACAGGAACAAGTGACCCTCGTGTCCACCCCCACTCCTCTGTGTGTGTGTGTGTGTGTGTGTGCGCACCTTCATGGACATGGCACACACACATGCACGCACACTTGCACACACATGCTCTCTCCTTCCCCAACTCTGACTCCAGTGCTCAAGAATCACCTTCCATCACTGAGATCTTCTCAGGAAAATATTTGAGACATTTTGGTAAATTAAGAAAGCAAGCTCCCTTCTTGATTAATCTGCACACTTTCTNCTTTCTCCATCACTGGTGCCTGAGCTATTTTCTGGTTTGTATTCCCAGGGGTTCCCTCTGGAGGAGCCACTGTACCTGCCACCTCTGCAGCATGGTCTTGTCAGAGCCGGGGTGTCTCCTGTGGGACAGAAAACCATGGTGGTGACCAAATATCCCAAGGCAGGAACATGAATAGGGAGCAGTGGGGCTTTCAGGGCTTCGCATGGCCAGGGCATTGAGGAACGCTGCAGACTTCCCAAAGCACGCAGTGACACTATTGTCCAGGCTCCCCTTGCCCCACCCACCCTACTGAAGGTGTGTCCTTACAGTCACCATCCCTCTACATGATGCAGAACATGCTGCTGCCTTAAGTGCAGGTGTGAAGAAGTCCAGGGCACATGCGGAAGCAGGCTCGCGGCCTCACTCGCAGCCCATGCGGACTTCCAGGGCCACATCTCAGCCTCTTTGCCCCGCCCTTGACATGCAAATATAATATATGTATGTGGTCAAACAAATGAAACAATATGGAAGGCCGGGAAATATGAGTCTCCAAACTATTGCTCCTACTCCAGAAGCACCCATGGTTAACAGTTTCTAGAGTATGGCCTGCCCATATGCTTACACAGTTGTTTTTCTGATGGCTCATATGTGGGCTCATATCACAGGCACAGTTCCCCCTGCCCTGCCTCCCTGTGCGGAGACCAGCTCACGGGCTCTGCTGCGGTCCTTCCACAGCTGCAGGCCACCTTGTAGGGGCGGGTCATCATCGGCTGACTTGTCCCCTGTGGTAGGCTTCATTCTCACAAACAATGTTTCCATGACCACCTTTGGAAATAAATCTCTGCATACTTTTGTGAGTGCATCCAGGAGACAGATTTCTAGCCATGGTACTGCTGAGTTAAAAAGTGTGAGCGTTTCCAATTTTGCTACATATTGCCAAATTGCTCTCTTAAAAGGCTGCACCGATTTACACTTCTACAATCAGGAGCTGCAAATGGAACCAGTGAAACACCATAGTTGACCAAGCCTGTAGGAAAGAGTCTCAAAGGGTAGCAAAACGCACTGTTGAGAAGGGCACAGGGAAGAGGCCTCCCAGCTCCACCTGCAATATCCCTTCTGGTGAGCAGGGATTTGTAGAGCCCAGTTCCTCAGCCTCTACAGTGCCCCTCAGTTCATTTTCCAGCTCTGTTTTCTTCCTTGTCTCTCCATGAGGCTTTCCTTCTGCTTCCAAGACCAGGTCTTTGCTCAAAATGTTTCACCAAACTAAACCAAATCATGTCCCCTGGTGCCCTCCATCCCCTCTGCCATGGTAATGTTCAGGTGCCCACAGAGCCCATCCCCCACATGCCCTCCAGGCTCTACCTGCATGGATCACACCAGGACCCCTCAGGCCTCAGTCTGGACAAGGTCTGGCTGCC